TTCACTACAATTTCACGGAAAACGAAATGGAACGAACAAGAGCGACAGCTAGAGAGAGAGAGAGAGAGAGAGAGAGAGAATGAGGTAGACGGATAGAAAGAGACAAGCGTTTGGAATACAATTCTTACAAAATATTTTGTGACGGCACAAAAAGTGTATGTGTTGAGAGAGCGAGCAGTAAAATATAACGAAAATTGCAATTTTCCATGGGCAATTAAAACTTTATGTTTTTATAGTGAATGAAGTAGGATTCCGTCATCGTGCGCACTCACTAGCCCGTTCATTTGTTTCAACATTGCATCTCACTCTCCTCTCTCTCTTTCGAAATAATTAATTTGACACTGAGCCATAGCGCACAGCATCATTTTTGCGATAGAGCATATAGCATCTCGACGGCAAACGAGATGGACGAGATGTACACAAGTTTGGGTTTCATTTGATCTTCTTTTTTTTTAAATCGCTTAAAAGACTTGCTTCTTCACTCATCACCGTACGTCGTACACTGTGAAGTACTTTGCAGTAACAATACAACAACGATGACAAAATTTATTGAATGAAATGATCTTAACGCATACACTCGCAGCACAGTGTCTTCGTTGTAACGTTCTCGAAAAAACTGGAGATTAAATAGCGAATAAATGAAGCGACCGTATACTATATTGTTGCACATTTCATGCCGTTCGTCTTCTCGGTTCATTTTTTTCTTTCTTTCAGTCTGAGAACAATACGCGAACTTGTTGAAAGAAATCACGCTCACTTCACTAACGATTGAAGATTGAGTAATCTATTAGGTTGGTTTTCGTTCGGGCACACATTTTTTGAGTACAAAACGTCGTTTATTACTTTGTTATGGATCTATTAAAACTCCGTCAGTTGCTTGCTGCAAAGATATTTTACCAACCAGATGGAAAGAAGAAAGACGAACAAAAAAAACGAATTCGAAGAAGAAAAAAATAGTGGCAACGTATAATCCGCTGAGGAAGAATATGTTCTGTGCGCACAATTCCGAGTAGTTGTTGGTTGGTTTCATGGCCGAGCTATTAGTAGTTGGTTGATGTGTTTCGTTCATGTTTGGCACCGACGATTATTTCATTTTTATTATGCAATAATTGAATTTGACGCGCTATTTTCATACGGTTGATTTCCACTATGATTATATTAATAGTACAATGTGAGCGAGCATTGAACTCGATGTGCTCGAAATGAGTTCCAGTTTGTATACATTCTATTTTGATGCTTCAGATCAAGTTTTTTGGTGTTATTGTAACAAATGTCAGCGTGAGTGTCTTCCCAGTTGTCGTAAAAAAGCTTTATTTCAATAATTACTCGACTTTTGCAGCATTTTTTGGCAGTATAAAAATACTTGAACTACATTCAAGAAAAAACATGTTTGTTACAATGAGCTAACAAACACACAGTTTGGCGCTTTATATGAGCCTGAACTAGTCGTTACAAAAGGCAAAACTTTGTAACAAAAAAAAAAGATTCCACATATTTGCAGTGCATTCTTTAGTAACTGCTAGTGAGTCGTTGAGATAATTCTCATTTATTTTATCTATGTGTGATATCAAAGTCATTTGGCTCCCAAAAGAGAGGCGAATCGTAAAAATACATCGCTGGTCTTGTCATCACACAGCATAGCACAGCACAGTGATTGCAATTCCTGGCAAATGAACATCAATGCCGACAAGCGGAGGGAAAAAATAAAGATAAAAAGGATTGCAAAACAGACTATTCATTCAACGGAAGGAACGAATAGAGCAACATACAAGCGATAGCAAAAAGTTCAAACGTAAACATGAGATAACGGCCGCATCTGCATATTTGAAGTGAATTTGATATACACGGATTATGTTTGCCTCATGAACACGTTAGAAAAACGCTTCATTGCCGAAGCGTGTGCATATTTCTTTTTCTTCATTACAAATCAAACCACTTCATTCGGACTTGTTTTTGACGAGTTTTTGTATTTCATCTGTTGTTTATTCTTGGGCATCTCTTTACTTTATGCAACGTTACCTCCTCTGAATAAACATTTTGTGGTCGAAGCACGTTTCCTTTGCTCTATGTGGATATTGACGCCGTACAAAAGTCTTATTCGTCAGCGTTTTACTTTTTTTTGTTTATCATTAGGCATCAGTTTCCATTTTTGATGTCCATTGCTTGCGTTGCACATTCTCGAGACGTTGCCTATCAATAGAGCTGATTAAAACATTGAAGTTTCAAGACTTATCGAAGCAAATATTTGTTTTTTCTTTAGATCGAGATACAGATGATTTTCATATTGGAATTATCCATTAAGGCCTCATTATCCCAGCTTACAAAATGTGCATCAACATTAATCATTCGCACATACGATCGAATTCCCATATAATCCTGGCAGTTGCAGGCTATATCTTCTTACTACTGCTGATGTCAGAAATAAACATATGGCATTGGTATGTCGCTCAAATTCACTCCGACAATCCGATATTCGTTGAATAGCACAATGTTTATTCAATATTTCATCGATACAAGGTGGAAATGTGCCACGAAAATTGGCTCAGATTTCATTTTCAACATAAATGTGCATGAAATTCCACCTTCCTTACCGCACTGACGCGATTCAGCTTCAGTTATGAATCCGAAAGATATTCGGTATGGATTTTTTTTTGACAAACAGGAAATATCCACATTCATCGAGTACAACACTACACTACATAGTCCATACCAGTATTTTATTTGCATACAAAAAAATATATACCATAAATTTTAATCCCATAAGCTGAAAATGAATCTTTATTTAGCTGTTTTTTGTTGTTGTTGATGATATTTATTTGTAGCATTTTATTTTCCATCTCTTCATAAATACAATTCATTTCGATGCTATTTCCAACAGGAAAATTTTCTCAACGCAAATAAAAAACGATTTCAAATATTTATAAATAACAACTAATCGAATGAAAACTTCACCATTTATGCCATTTTGGTGTGCGTGAAAAAAAAAGGAATTGTTTCCTCGAATATGTTGTAACTGAGTCTCGAATAACTGTCATATCGGGCGAGAGGAACGAGAAATAAAACAAGAATTTGAATTTTAAATCAATAAATAAAATATTTTTTTTAGCACTTTTCGCCATGCATCATTATTTGCATGCTACCGCTAGTAAAAAAATCATCAGTTTGAATATTTAATTATTTACATAACTCTTTTCACTTTTCATTAAGCCCCACAATTATTAATCAAAAATACATTTCATGACATCCATTGATTTTATTTAATTTGATTTTCAATAAAATTGCCTGCAACTGCATTTTAATAAAATTGATGAACTAAAAATCGTTTAACCAATGATAAATGAATATTGCTTCCATTGGTGACAACGACAAAAAAAAATTAGTCGACTATAAAGTGTATCGATTTTTTTTCTTCCGTCGTTGATCCTAATTTGATTTTAATAACACCCGCTTGGAAAATATGTTTGGTCAAATAGTCGCGATATGCAACTACAAGAAAATGCAACAGGAAAAAAAAAAGATAAATGACATTAATATTAATGAACTGAATAATTATTATTTAATATGCAACAAATAACACAAAGGCCACCATCGATTTTATCATTTCATTTATTTCACTTATTATTAACAATGATTCAGATTAAAAGTGTTCCTATTTTATGATTTTTCTAACGTAATTATCGAATCGGAGTTATATCATATATACTATGTATGAATTTAATTTGATATATTAAAAAGAAGCAAAATTCACAAACTGCGACTTAATAATGAATAAAATATTTAAAAAAATGAATGATACCGAACCAAGCTGTATATTTTATCAAATCAAGCGAAACAGATTTGAGGGTGGCAAATACAGTTACAAGTACCACTTTTCTGGCAATCGTTAATATTTGCACACAAGTCTTGCTGATGAACTATTTCATTTTTGGAAAGAAATTTTCGCGAAAAAAAGAAAGAACTTTTCGCGTGATGTATCGAAAAGTACTATTCCATCTAAGTATTGATGACACTAATGATCAAATGTAAATTCATATGCGAAGAGTGTAAAAATAGAATTCACTTTCAGTGAAAGATTAATGTAATTTTCGGTTTTCAAGTTTCATATAGAAAATCAAATTCATTGAAAAATTTTGAACAAAGTGTTTAATTCTTTGGTACTCTCGACTAATCCATCTAACAATTCGATCGTTTGTACATTTTGTGAAATGATTTTCTTAAGTAAACAGTTCATTTCCACTTGAAGAGTTGACGCTTGATCGACTTGAAAGCGATTTTTTTTTTGGATTTTTTTTCGTCACATTATCCGAAAGAATGAGCACTTTTCGATTTATTTGCCCACGATTTGTAAGATTCGTTCGGTTCAATTGGTGTTCGTGGCTTGGAAGTGAATAATTTATAGAATGACCATCGCTTGGACAGACTTTGTTATTTGAAACGACTGCACGGTTTTACATGTTTTAAAGAAATAAATCCAATTGCATCCAATGAAGATTTATTTTTTTCTTCAATATTTTTCACCGGAATTTTTCAAAGTATTAAACGGCACAACACAACACACAACAAGTGAATGTTTGACAGTTCTGTTAGACAGCACACAACAAGTGACACACATCGTTCGCGCCAAATAGTGCAAAGCGATGTAAAAAACATCGACTAAGTTTGACATTTGTTTTATTTGAATCTAAAAATAATTCACCATTCGTTGAGTAGAAGTGATTTTTGTTTTTTTTTAGTCCTCACATTTTTTGCGAAACGGGTTTACACTTGATAGAATCGATTTTGAAAAGTGATGACCTTTTTTTTGCTCTTCACTTTTGAAATTACCCATACTCGATTCCAAAATTATCCCCCAAATAAAAAATTTCAATTTGAAATTTCCCCCCTCTGGATGACCAACCTTAAGAAGCTATGGCTGAAAATTGAACGATGTCACACAAAATATATCGAAAATCGAATCGATTTCGTGTGATTTTGACTTGGAGTTTTCACAATTCACGAAATTTTGAATGAATCTACTGTTTCGTAAAGTCACATTGTGATTTTGCTGAAAATCACAATCGAAAATAGAACAATGGAATTTATTCATAAAATTTTCACATTTTACATAAAAATATGTACATCAACCATCTTCAAATTATAAGTAATCATTCAAAATCACAAAAACCGTGGCTTAGTTTAGTTTACCCATCTAACAATTATCAACCCAAATACATCCGATTCCAGGCACATTTCCAAGGTTGAATACGGGGATAGATTTAACCGTAGAAGTAACCGTAATAGTGATCCAATTGTGCATGGAATGAATGGAGAAAAAATTGCATAAAATTAGCATCAATACATTCAATTGGAAAACAAATCATTTACTTACATACATGGGTACTTCTGGCCTCCTTAGGTAAGTATGTACGCCTACTATACCACAACAATCAGGCATAGCGGAAATAACATAATGTTATATTTTAATTTTTAAATTATTCAATGTGAATGGCGTGAAATACATGAAGCTGGTTAGTTGTTGACAGCAGCTCGCTGGTTCGATGGCCTCTGCAATGTTTCGGGTAACTCGTCCCCAAACAAGTCACAGTGTCCTTGAAAATCATACAAGAGAACAATGAATGATATGTAAATAAAGCACTGCACCTCACATCACATGCAATTCAATCAATATATTATGAGCACTTACCTTTGATCAGGATACATTTTGCAGCGGCTATGTCGCGATGCCATGTCGTCTTGTGTACTCGTGGCTCGACAACTTCCATCTCACCGGCTGAATTGAATTTCACGTATTCCACGATTTTACTAGACTCATTTACATGCCATGTTTTGTGGTAGATTGCCACTTTTGGGAGTAATTCTGGGTTTAGTTGATCTGGATGTGGGACATCATTGCCAACCGCTGGATTTCCGTTGCCCTCTTCCGCTTCTTTCTCGAGCAAAAACAGTTTCAGCTTCTCGTGCCTCATCTTTCGTTTGTTGACCTTGCACACGATCATTGATGGCAGCATTGCTTCTACCAATTGCGGCCGACAATCATGGCAGACTTTGAAGCGATGTCGTTTCGTGCGTTGATCAAAACGGCCAAAGCACTTGGCGCATGTTTGTGAAGTGTAATACTCGTCGACCATATTAACCACACAACCACGACACTTTTTGTAGCTTCGTATCATTTTCCGATTGCCCGGGCAACGCAGTGTCTTTTTGATGCCGATGGGTGAACTGGGCGACATTTGAGCAGCTCCGAAATGCATGAGTGTTGGCTGATGGTTGGTCAACATTCCGGCTATGCTATCGGTCACACTGTTTGCTCGAACATACTTGTCAAAATTCAGTCTCGTGTATTTGTCTGTCGTATACACGGCAATGCCACGTTCCGTCATTTTGAGTCGATGCCGAATGTAGTTCTGCCAGTGCCTACCCAATGGCGATGGCATCACCGGATAGAGCGCACGATTTTCACGATCTTGCCTCTCTTCCTTGACAAAGTCTTTGGTCCACCGCTTTCCCTGTCGATTTCGAACCGTTTGCTTCGTCCAGTAATGATACTGTTTGCTGCTGATCGTGTAGTTCGTCTAAGAAACGAAACAAAACAGAACAAAGAAAACCGTTTAGATAAAAATGACAATGACAATGGCATAACTTTGGTTTATCAAATGAACAATGCACGCATATTGTTTACCTCTTTGCCAGTTTCGATGTTATGTACCGTTGTTGCGTTCCACGTATTCACACCCGGATCAGTTGCACCTTCATTGACAAACTTATTGTAGTTTTGAACAATGGTCTTTTTGTCAACTGGTTTCAATTTCGTTTTGTCAATATCGAATTGTAGCGATACGGCCTGTCCATTCGAGAGAATTCGGAAACGGAACTTTTTTCTACTGCGACCGAGATGATAGATTTTCCGCATATCGAAGTATTGGCCCCAATAATACTCCTTTTGTTTTCTGAACTCGTCCTCTGTGATGTTAAGTGGTACGATTCCAAGTTGACGCAACAAAAAGTACAATGTACGAATGTCCAACGTGTAGTGGGTACGAGTGAAACTGCAAATGGGAATCACTGCCAGATTTTTCACTCTCGGAGGCCCTTTCTCAATGTACTCATTTCCATTTTGGCCTCGATCTGTCGGCTGCTGGCAAGTGCACGGACGGTGATTTCGACGTCGGCATCGTTTCAGCTCTTCAAACTCTTCGCGTTGGCATCGGCGTTCTTCACGATATTTCTCGCAGGTGTTGAAATCATCAATTTTCCGCTGGAGGGAAATCCAGAATGCGATGCTCTTGAACCAGTCCTTCCCATTTGTGAATCGGCCGATGTTGTTGTCTGGTATGTCCCACCAACTGTTCTTCGTGACCATTTCAATCAACAAGTTACGCCGTTCACGTTTGGCAACATCATCCATGCCATTGATTACAATATTGTCATTGCCAAAAATTGCCAAACTAATCACACGGTCGATGTCGGCCTGTTCGTATCGAGCAACCAACGAAGATTCGAACACTTTTACCCGCAGCCATTCGCGCAGGCGTTTCTTGCTATGCGTCTTCAAGTTGTTTTTCACGTTCGTTACGTACGGATCTATTATATCATTCATTCCGTTGCCGAAATAGTCTGCGTTGGGCCAAACCACTCGATGGCTATCGTCCAGCTGCTGCACCATTTTACGAAATTCCGGCGGCATTTTCTTCTTCTTGTAGATATTTTTCTTGAGCACACCAAAAAAAACACGACCGAATCACCTTTTCGCCATTCTGTTCAAAAAATCCTTTGTCATTGTCTTCGAATGCGCGCTCACAACGGAACAGGAACAACTGCGAGGCGAGTACACAAATTGTCGTTGCCATCATTGATCTGTCGGTGATGGCTGCAATCAACAAGTCACGGTATTCCGGCCGAAGAATGGCACGCAACTGCGTTTTGACGGTTCTTATGCCGGAATCCTTTTCTTTTTCATCCTCCTTAATCACGTCCCCAAGCACTGCAATTGGCTTCCCCTTCTTTTTTGCTTTTTTGCGCTGGTATCCCATCTGTAAGAGAAAAAAAAAGAAAAAAATGAGGAAAATTAATTAGATATGATGTATTTTCTACCTAAAAACATTGACTAAATTACTTAATTTGAAAAAAAAAGAAAAAAAAAACAATCACTGTGAATCGAACAGTATGCACAATAAATGACTTGCCTTTCCAAATGCTCACATCAATATGAATGTGCAACCGGCATCAGTTTAAACTGATTGACGAATTGTGCACAATTGTGCTGATAGTGCAGAAAAATCGAACGAAAAAAAAATTGATCTCAGCTAAATGAGTTCTAAGAAAAATCGACAACGAAGCCGGGTGGTGGTGCTGTCACATTTATGGATACCTCCGATGAGATTTTATTTTTCTTGGAAAAATGGCGGAGGACCAAATTGTATACAATGCACAACGAATCGTCTGGCAATCGAATGAACAAGAGCAAAAAACAAATAAACATGCACCGACCACGAATGCTAATATGCGACGAGCGACGAGCGACGAACACTTGAGAGAAGAAACATGATTTTTTTTGTTACTTTTTATTGCTTCACGATTGAGACAGAGTTCGGATAAATGTGCTGTTGAAAATATGAGAAGCCAAAAGTGAAGCGGTTTTTTTTTTCGGCCCGAGACAGCGTACAGTGCTACTGTGATTTGGCGAATGTTCCGTTATTGAAGAGACACAGCACAAGCACGTGCAACGACACAAGGGAAAAAAACCGGCAAAATTTCGCGAACAATCGAATTCTGACAACATTTTTTCAAAAGTCTACGCGGATTTTTGGTGGAATAGGAAAAGATTGAATTTGATGCGCGTTTTTTTATCGATAAAATCTAAGTTGTCGTTGATGACAATCGGAAAAATTCTTGTTAGTGATATGAACACTTGAGCAAACACAGGACAAAAAAAAACTTACAAAACACGAGAATTTCTACAAATTTTCACTATGATTTTGAATTTCTTTTATGTCGATAAAATTCGGTCGATCGATTGAAAAAAATGGGTAAAAACTTACTCGTTAGACTTTTTTCACGTTCTTTTGTCGATTGAACACTGTCGATTTGATCGAATGATAATTTTTTCCTTCTAGCTCGGTTCACATTCAAGAAGCAAGTGAACGAGTCGCTGTGTTTGCAACGTATTGGAAACTAATTCTCGTCTCGTTGTGTTAGTATTTTTGTGAGCTAGCTGTGGCGATTCAACGCCATCGGTTCTGCGCTGTGTTTTGGTGTGTGCGCGTGCGATGTATTATGACTTTATGCAGAATTTGTGGATCGGTGAGATTGTGTATAAACAAATGCGCATCGACGCAGCTGTAATACGAACCGCTGTCATCGGTGTATTGGGCAAAGTGTGCTCTCGTTCGTGTGTCTCTGTATTAAGATTTCAAATCCTTGTCAATCGTTGTGCGCCAAAAGTCAAGCACTTAGAACAAAACTAAGTGAATAACATCGACAACAGAGAATCATCATCGCACACACAAAATCCATTGATTCTGCGATATTTTCTATTAGTTTTTTTTTAGTTTTTTTCTCGATTGTGATTAAAATGTTGATGACATTACGCGAAATATGCTTCATTGTTTCGTGCTCATCAAAACTGTAAGTATCAATCAACTGTTTATCTACAGCTGGACTATTATTACATTGATTGACGAACTGCCGTCTGGAATGCAAACGAACTTGAACTTGCACAAAGCTCACGACAATTTTACACAAGAAACACTGGAAATGTCGAGCAAAGAGGCAGAATTCAAATCCATTCTCTTTTTACTGTGCTATTTCCATGCCGTTCAATGTGAAAGAAGAAAATTTTCGGTGCGTTCCTTTGAACCATATTTGAGATAAACGTATGGTTTTTCCTTGCAATTTTCACATTAAATACAGAATCAACATCGATCTTATCATCTCGATGCAGTGGCAGAAGCGGGCAGAAAAAAGGGAGCCAAGCAGTCGGGCAGCCAATGTTGGGCTGTTCAAAGCGTTGATCTGTTGAGCACAATGGTTTGCGATTTGCGATCTCGTTATAAAATACAATCAATTGATTAAAGTATGATTGTTGCGTCTATCCATTGTCAATGCCATTGTTATTGTTATAGTTTTATACTTTTTTCGGCTTCGCACTTTGCATTGTGCTGTTGCTTTTATCTGTGAATGCCAGCGAAGAAGGAAAAAAATAAATCCGTTGCTTTATGGTGGCATGGCAAGAATATGGTTTCATTTTAAGGGGTTTTGATATTTGATTATCAGTTGTATATTTTTCGTTGTGTTGTCAGCCGCGTTGCTGTATTTGTATGTGTGCGTGTGCGTGTGTGTTTACGGCATCTCGTCAAAACATCCGGTTTGAATGATGAAAATAACAATGCACAACCATTCGCCCTTTCCTCTCCACTGTTTTTCTTTTCCATTCGCATTTTTGCTACACGCTCTGTTTCTGTCACTGTGCATGTGCATAAATGTGATTATATTCTTCGGAAATTGAGGCAAATCCTAGTTCAACTACACGCTGCTGAACAGTGCCAGGTCTGTTTGTTGAATGTGCGAACAATACAAATTGAAGCCATTCAATTAATTTTTCGAAAATTTTGACAGGCAAATAGTATTGTTCAGCCGGTGCAGTTGAAGTCAATGAAAAGCAAGCCATTTCCAATCTGTTCGCCGAATTCGTATTAAATTTTCAAACGAGAAAATTTCCAATCTCTTGCACCAGAATGTGTGACGGGTGGCGATGGCAGTGGTGGCAGCAGCATCATCGACGACTTTTCCAAGCGACTGCTTTTATGCCTGTTTATTAGAGGGTTAGCAACATAATATAATAGAACTTGAACCATCATCTATCATGCGTTGTTTTGTTCTGTGTGCTGAATCGGTGCAGCGGTGTTGTTGCGACGCAAACAGAAAACCCAGTGGCACAAAAGGGGAATGTGCGAAAATCGCTACAGTAATCTGTGTTTATTCAGGGCGTGTTGGATGTGTGAATAGTATACGGAGTTTCTTCCGCGTCGATTAAGTGCTAATCCGATATTTACTACATCTGCCTCACAAATCATTCAGTGCATAACGCGGAAATACACACACACACAAAATAGACGATCACAGTGCCATTTGCAGTGTAGTTTTCGTTCCACGTTCCGTGGTACAGTCAAAGAGCATATATTTTCAACAATTAAAAGAGTTTTTTTTGGTAGTTTTCCCTTTTCTCTTTCATCTGTAAATCAATTAAAATTATGAGTTTCATAGAATTTTGAACAATAGCTTTTTTTCTGGTGAATCGTTTCATTGGGCATCTCTCTAGTTACATTCCACATTGACGAATTCTATTTATAGAATGGGTAGGGACCACATCGTAAACATACAAACACATGGCGATCATTCGATAGATCGATGATCGATTTCGACTTAGATTCAGATGCAAATTCAAACACAAATACTAATATCCATTGCCATTCAGGATAAATACATATAATCATGGGAAATGAGCAACGGAAATCGAAAACAAATTCCGGGCCCGGTGTGTGCATGGCAATATTCTGATTCTGGCATTTTCAAATAACTCCAACCGAAAGTAAAGAATATTGAAATTGTTTGAAATTGTTATTTTTCCCCGTCCAAAACTAAACCGTTCAGTGTGTGCAATTTTCGAAGTGAACAAGTTTAATGCCATTGTGCGGATAAGCGACCATCTACGAAATTTGAATTGTCGTTTGCATCATGTTGTGTTATGCGTTGTATGTTGGTATGCAGCATCAATTTCATTTGAATTGGAAGTTTTTGGGAAATACCACATTCGAGATTCAGTATTTTAATGGCAGTAGAGTGCAACAGATAACTAAACTGGAGAGTATAGTAGTGCACACGAGACCCCGAGAAACAAATTGAAACTTATATAGTCAAACATAATGTTCTGGAAATAAACTGACAACAAAGCGCTTGCTTTTAAAGTTTTACACACACATACACACACACACACACACAAACCGAATAACGAATAAATTAAACAGCTGAAAACAAGAAAATATCAATATTTGGATTTTATAGGAATGCAAACGAAGCGGATGGACTTTGATTTTACAATGAGATGCACTGCGAATTCATTCGGTGAACGATAAGAAAATTTGCGCGTGAACATCACACGAAATGCAGCCCCGAAGCGCAAAATAATAATGTTTCTGGCGAAAGTTTTAATAAGCTTTGATAACCTTTGTTCGCATATACAAAAACGAACGAACCAACGAAGGAAAGTTCAACGCTTCCGGACATTGAAAAAGCATCCAGCCTATAGAATCTGTGTAGGAGGAGGCAATAGCAGTAAAAACTATCACACTGCTATGACAACAACTTGAGTTGACTACAAAACTCTCTATAAATACTTGAAGACTGTGCAGGAAAAATGCATTGCATGTACACTAACATCATTTTCATAATCTTTGCAAACACTTGATTTCCCATGAAATTTAATGCACTCAGTGGCATGCATTATTTAAATGAATCGACTTTGCCTTCATCTCATCTCTCTTTTTTTTCTAGTTTCGTTTGCTTAATTTTCTTTGCATAATTAGCCGAACACAATATGTTCTACAGTGCATTGAACGAATAAGGACCTAGGTATAGATTTACAGGCATTAACATACTAATGTTATTAATTATTAACATATTATTAACGGGGCGTTAATAACTCAAACATAACATATTATTAGATTAATAAGATTCTACGATATTATTAACATATTATCTTATTATTAATAAGATCGCCATTTTATTAAAAAGTTAATAAGATCCATCTTATTATTAATAAAATAATCTTATTAAAATATTAATAAGAAAATCGGATTTTATTAACCAATTTTCAAAAGAAATTTTGAAG